CCATTCTATAAAGCTCCAGCATGGGTATAAAGAAAATTCTCACTCAGACTTCCTATAGAGTGGCTCATGTTTGGGTATACTTGAAACAGTGTTTGACCTACCGCACAACAAAATACATTCACTTCAGAACAAGGTCTAACTGAAGTTAAAAAAAAAGGTTAACATTCTTTCTCAGACTCCTTATATGCTAAAAGGTACTCGGATATACTTATTTAAAACATTCAACAAATTAGGCTCTGAAAATGTCCATTAAGCATAATGTTAATATCCATTCTACAAGCATTTATATATGTATCCACAAATACCTCCAGTCTATCTGTACGAGCTGGCTTTGGGGCAGGAACTCCTGGCAATGCAAGAGGTGGATTTCCAGGAAACAGAACTGGAGTATTTGGTAAAAAATCAGCAGGAACCAGGCCCATCCCAGGATGATGCATGTAAGGATTGAAAGCCATGGCAGGATTAGCTGCAAGCGATGGATTCATAGGAAAAGATGCCTGTGTTCAAAAGAGAGAAAAAGAGGTAAACATATCCTTCTTACTATTTATTACACCGGGCATTCTTAAAGAAAGCATTTCCTAAGATACTATTAGCTTTTCTTTTCTTTTTGAGATTCAATAATCAAATTATTTTATTATATTTATTATATAATTATGTCTAAATTATGGAACTCCTGTTATCTGATCTCTTCTTCCCTAATAGGGATCCTCATAGCATTTCTAGGGCTACCTTTTGAACTATGAGTATCATCTACCCCCTAGATAAAGACAAGGCTGGGTAAGAGAGATTAGTTTATGAAACAAGACTGTAGTAAAATAGTAAAAATACAATAAAGTAAAAGTAAAATGGCAATACTATCCTCATTTTAGTTAGATGGTAAATTGGTAAAGCATTCACTTTTTCTAAATTACTGTTTCCTTTTTCAAGTCTTCTATAAATATCAGTTGGCCAAGAAAAGAAAGAAGGCCACTGTTAGGTGATTGGACATGGGACAGGCAGCATTACAGCTGGGAAGAGAAAGGAGAAAGTGAAAGGAAAAGGACTCCCAGCAGTACACAGAGTCCACATTTAAAGGCATGGCTATGTGAGGAAGCAAGAGAAATCTTGTTTATATGTACTGTCATTCATTGGTAAAATTACGGCTTTTTCAAAAATCGGCTTACCAGTAAAGTTTATGCCTATAGATGTCGTTTTAAAAGCTATTCCTATGTGGGAACTAGTAAAACACACACACAAAAAAAAATCAAGAAACAGTGGTGATTATATAACAGTGGTATATACATATGTATGTCAATTAATGAAAAAAGGCCGTAAATTTTAAAGAGAG